AAAATATTGATAATTAATATTGATAATTACGCACAGAGCGAAACGTTTATAGCGTTATTAATTAATAAAGGTGAATTATTTTGCGAACATGCAGTGAAATGTCAATTTTTTTATTTGATTGCGGTTGATCAGTGATAGTTATTATTAGATCATACGATTCTGGTTTAATTTGAATTATAACAGTACTACTTACTATTTTACCTGAACTTTCTATTCTTTACATTTTATAATTTTATAATATAGTGATACAATGATATTCAGTTTAGCATGATCTTACATCTCAAAATTTAGTGACTACAAGTGGAAGTGAATGTAGTTAAAAAGTAATCAGCATAATTTTGCTATTCACTCTTATAATTACTAAATAATTAATAGTCAGTCAAAATTTAGATGTATTCACTTTATTCCTGAAAAAATTGAGAGATTTTTTCACTGAAGTATTCACGCAAATTATAAAGTATTCAAAATTTTGATTCACTGATAACATTTGAAACGAATGATTAATAAAATAGCTGGTTGTACATCAATGAAACTGATCCCGATGGTACTCTGAGTTGGTTGGTAACAGAACTTGAACAAGCTGAAAAGGATGGCCAATATGTACATATTTTATCGCATATCCCGCCTGGTGACCATGAATGCTTCGAGAGTTGGGCTCGAAATTATTATAAAATAATTATTAGGTCTAAAACTTTCATTTTATTTACGCACTTACTCTGTACATTTTTTAGCGTCTTTGCTCGTGCCTTTGTTTTAATTCATAATTTTAATAATTTCAAAATTTGAAATCACTTAAAATTTGACTGAGAAATTTTATATTTATTTTTTATAATTATTTAATTTTCGGCTCTATAATGCAAATATTTACAAAATTTTTGTTTCTGAATATTTCAGATTTTCAAAAACAATAAAGGCTCAATTTTTTGGACACATTCATGTAGACAGTTTCACCGTTTTTTATGAAGATATGAATGATGATTTGTCCAAGCCAATTAATACTCTCTATGCATCGCCGAGTGTTACAACATACAAAAATCTTAATCCAGCATTCCGAATCTATGAAATTGATCCCGGAAACAAATACGTTTGCTCTTATATTACTTTCCAGTTTTAGCAGTCTAATTCCTAGCAAAAATCACAGTATTTTTTGCATAACTTTGAAATTAATAACTCTCTTAATCCAGCATTCCGAATCTATGAAGTTGATTCCGTCACATTCTAAAAATTATATTAAAAACTGTGATAGTGATACTTTCAGCATGTAAAAAATTTTCATACTTACTTTTTGAATCTTACAAGTATCTCGACAAATCCTTCTACTACACCAATTTGGGAATTATTATATTCAGCAAAGGTTTGCTCATTTTTGCAGTACAATTTTCGTTCAAAACACATTTCGACTTTGATAAAATCACATTGCGTCAGAGTATAAAACCCTTCCATATAGTAAGCACAATAGAAGTTTGTGAGTGAAAAAATGATTTTCAGGAAGAGTATGGCATGAATGATTTAAGTCCAGAAAGTTGGGATTCTCTGATCGATAGGATCATTTATGAACCATTGTTTTACAACAAATTTATTAGGTATCTCTAACGCAAGTCTATAACTGATGTGCCCATATCTTCAAGCTTTTAATTCAAAAGCTAAATTTTAGAGAACAGTATACATTCTAAAAATTATGCAAATATATGGAAAAATCATTGCAGTTGCATAATTATGTTCATTTTCAAAATATAAAATTGTGAAGAAATTTTTTGAAATATTTTCTTCTTCATATTGTCATTCCTTATTCTCCTCCTAAAGTCCTTTTTGATACTTGCTTCTACTAACTTATTGTTGGGTCAAATTTCTTTCGAGTAATCAATAATTTATTCTTCTTTTCAAAAATTACCGAATTATTATTATTTATTTCATTCGAAAGATCGAATTTTGAAGTGTGACCAATATTGCTCAGAAATTAAGACGCACTGAAATGATTTGTCCACTAATTTACAGTTTTGCGATTTCATATAATTACGCTACCAAAAATGTATTTGCTTCAAGGCTAGACCTGAAAAATATATTTATATATTAAATTTCAGAAATAGCAATCGTCGCGATGATTTCATCTGTGACAGAGAATGTCGATTTGATTCGTTGTGCTTTCTGCGTAAAGGGCATCACAACGATACTTTATGTCAATATCTTTTATCAGGAAGTAATACTCGAAATCAGTTCTACCCTCATCCTTTGAATCCATTTAAATCACTGAAATTCACAAACGTCCCTGCTTATTCAACAAGCTTCAATGCATTCTATGATGACGGAGAGCGGTTGATCAGATTGAAACTTATTATGTCAATTTTAGAAAAAAATATTCAGACTTATATTTTAAAG